GAGCAAGTTCGATTGAGTCCTCTAAGTTTACAGGAGTCAAGCCTAATCACATATATTTTATCGATGATTGGTACGAGATTAAGAATGAGGAAGGTGGTAATGGAAGAGATATGGGAGCTTACAATCTTGAAGATGGAAAAATTGAATCTTTTTATCCTAGATTGTCACTAAGTCCTCTTTCCCCGCCAACTTGGGTCACACCATCAATCTCATAATGCACTCACCTCCATATCTTGACTCAGCACCTCAGATCATGAGGAGTTGCTGTCTCTTGTAACTTTGGTTAATTATTTGTTTTTCATAATTATGTTTGAAGTTAAGTTAGATATAATATTTTTCCTTCACTGCAATGCATGAATGTTATGTATTAATTTTTAAATAAATGCTAATGGTGCTTTTCTAGATGATTGAGGATTCAGTTTGTTAATATTAACTCTTTAATTTGATGCGCGTCCTACATTCTAGCTCCTGCCAACATGTATTTTAGATGTCTTCGTGTTTTATTTATGCATACAGAAATACACGGCCTAGGTGCGAAGTGTTGGAGGTTGAAGCAGGTCCGATCCAGGCTTCAATTGTAAACCATAGTAGTTAGGGCTGCTTGTGCACACACTTATCTCCTACTCAAGAATGACATTATCTACCAATGTATATGGTGTTCGAGATAAAAAGAATTGTATGCTATTTGCTTCATTCATTTACCTTCTCTGTTGCATTATCATATCTATTTTGATTTACTTGGTTGCTTTGATACTTTATCTAAGATTAAGGGACAACCAACTGAAACTTTTTGATAAGTAAACTTATTAAAGGCACCAAGGAAGAACTGACTAGATATGGAAGTATCTGGATTTGATCCCTCAATTATGTATGGGATCAATGAACTCGAGTACAAATTCTATATCATTTGTAAAACACACTTCGCTACAAGATTCAAACTTTTTATACATCTTAGTTTACAAAATATAAGTCTTCTACTTTCTTTGAAGCATGAGTTCTTTCAAGCTAAACTGTCCAGCATATACCTTAAAAATTGATTTCCAGATTTGCCTTTGTTGCTTCCTCATTTCTGTCCCCCTTCCATCTGTCTAATGCTTGATTCTGTTCCCCCTAGCATCACCACTGCATCAATATTGGTTTAGCAACATGCACCAACCTTTCATATGTATCAACAATGTAAAGGAACGTGATTGACTGATTCTACTTTTTCTGCTCTTTTTCCATCGCTCATTTCTATTTGAACTTGTCCAAGAATTCCTCCCATAGGCTCCAATATGTTTCTAAACTGTGACTCCATGAGTTAGACTAACTAGTTAAGTGAACCAATCTTTTCCTGTACTATATTTATTTATGATCACTCTTTTCAGTAGGTCTTTTCTATCATCGTTATGTCTCTAACGCCATAGAGGCTAAATGATAGAAACACAGTGTAGACGGCTGTTATATTTCAAAATATGGCATGGAGAGTTACTGAGAGCCAAAATTAGTGAATACTCCCTACGGGCTGGCCATGTTGAAGCAAATAGTGAATATTTGGGTAGAGTTTAAGGATAATATCTAATTAAAAGTGGGTAATGGGAGAAAAATTAAACTTTGGACTGAGAAATGGTGTGTGATGAAGGCTTGCTGAAAGATCTTTTACCAACAGTATTGCTATGATAGCTGATTGTATTTTCAGCTCTGAATGGGATTCTCAATTTAGAAGAGGACTCGATGATTGGGAGACGGATGAAGTTAGTGATTTCGTGCAATTATTCCAGGTTATAGCACTTGAAGAAGACAAGGAAGACTCTTTGTTATGGTCAGGAAGTAAGGATGGAAATTTCTCTGTGAAATCGTGTTATGAACTACTGAAAAAACAAGCTGGTGATTCTGAAATTCACTGGCGTTGGAAGATGCTGTTGAGAACCAAAGCTCCATCTAGCCTTTAGGGTTGTATGTTTCGGTGGATTGCTGCATGTCTAGTGCAGTGTTATCAAAGGCACGCTTAAGCCCTGAAGCGAGACTCAAAACATGTTGATTGCTTCGCCTCGCTTAGCGGGAGCTTCAGTATTGTCATCAAGGCTCTAACGCATACTTTTCCTTGTCAATGAGCGTAATCCTGAAGACGCAACACTAAACAATCCCAGTACATGTTCTTTGATGCTGAAGGCGTAAGTTGGCATTCCATCCAAGTCACTTATATTCTTTCAGATTTCTCAATGAAATTTTTTTTCACATGCTTTTATCTCTGAACTTTGCCCCCAAAGGACAGACCAAGTACATGGCATGAAGTTTTTGCACCCTATTACTAGGTCCATTGGCCGCCTGGAAACCTGGATAACCAGTTGTAATTTAAAGCTCTGTTCAGTACTAAGTTGAATGTTATCATTACTGATTAGAACAGAAATGGTGACAAAATCACCATGTCTCAAGCCTCTTTATGGGGAGAGAAGTGTTTAGAGCTGGATTAATGACCACATAGCATTTTAAATAGTGGATTTACATGCTCTAACCCATTTTCTCCCAAAACTCATCTTCTTCGACATACTGAAAAGAGAAGCTCAATTATGCTTTTATAAAATCTAGTATGCAAACTACTTTTGAGCTTGTCTGTTTCAATCTCTAATCAAGGTATTCTTAGCCTCCATTGCAGCATCTATGATTTGTCTCCCTTTAATGAATGCATTTTTGTTTCCTGCAACTAGTTTATCAATAACCTTCTTCAATCATCCTGTGTGAACCTGAGTAAGGGCACATTGTTTTGAGAATTTATTGAATGAATTATGTTATCATCTTCTCCAGGTTCGTTGATATGACAAAGTCAAGAAGGTAGGAAAGTACCTTTGCATCCTCTGTGCTAACTGTTACTTTTGTGCATTTTATGGTAATTAATTTTCTTGTTTCAAGTTTAGAAATATAACATATTAACAAAAGTCCTACTTCCGTTTATCTGAAATATAATTTGAACAGATCTCTAACACAGGCTACTTTTAGAAATGTACTGTACTGGTAAGTACCTTCGCTTAAGACGTGCTCTAGTCAAATGAACTGGCTTGAGATAATAATACAAGTAAAGCTGGCTATCATGTTTCCACTACTGGGTTTGAAAAATTAATTCTCACGGATTGTATTTTCTCTCCATCTTTGTGTATTTTGATTTTTATTTCAGAATGGCAGGTATTGTATACCACACAAATAACTCAAAGGCAAAGAAGTTCCACGATGAGTTTTTGCTACTTGTGATATCTGGCTTGCATGGCAAGCAGGTTGGTTTCTGCAATTATTTCTTGTCTAACTTATACCTAGCGAACACCTTCTATTGTTCACTAGGTATTAGGCAAGATATGACGCAACTTCAGCTGACCGAGGACGTGATCCTTGATAGGAAGGTATGGAGGTCGAGGATTAGGGTAGTAAAGTAGGTAGTTAGTGGCGGATCCAGAATTTTCATCAAGGGGTGTCAAAATATAAATAATTAGATACATCAAAAAGTCAAGAGAAGTTAACGTATAGTAAATATACATAAAATTAAAAAAAATTATTTAGCAAAATAGTATAATTTTCCGGCGAACCTTTGCTTCAATGTGGCTCCGCCACTGTAGGTAGTCTAGAGTGTTGATAATAGTAGTATTGGCACGCAATCTCGCTTTCTATTGGTAGTAGGTTTTTGTGACTAACCGTTGTTTTCTTTCCTTGTTGATCGCCTTACTATCTTGTTGTTTTTATTCTTCTTTTATATGGCTTTTTGGTATTATCCCTTCTTGTCTATATTTTCATTAATGTAGTGCTTATGCTTTCCTGAGCCGAGAGTCTATTGGAAACAACTTCTCTATCCTCACAAGGTAGGGGTAAGGTCTCCGTGCACACTACTCTCCCCAGACCCCACGGTATGGGATAACACTAGGTATGTTGTTGTCATTGTCTAGCTTATACCTAGTGAACACCTTCTAATATTCAGCATCAGCTTGTCATTAACATCTGTGTGCTTGGACCTGCTCAAAATATGATGTTGATCACTTCTTTTTGTCTCATTTTAAAATCTGTGTTAGAATTGTATCACCGACCTTGTGCTCCTCCCTCCCCGCCAAAGCAAAAAGCTTGCTGTTGAGAGCAATATAAAAGACTAATCTTTTGAAGTCAATGTAATTGCTTTATAAAGTATTGCTAATGCAAGAATCCCTGCTGTATTCTGAATGTTTAAGAACTTATTAGCGTCATCAATGGCAACGTTGGAACAGTGTTTTTCTGTGACGCCATGCTTTATTCAGCAACAGTGTTCTCTCATGAACTGCTGCAATTTTCCTTGCTGCTATTTTTCTATTGATACACAGAAAAACTAAGGTATGACTTGAAGGAAAATTAACAGATGCCTACTTCTTTCGTTTTCCCTTCAGTTTTCTCTCATATTAGTCACCTGCTGTTCAAAGTTTGACGGCTTATATTTTTGTAATGGTATGATCATTTATCATATAATTAAGTTGGCGTCTTCATCTGTTTTACTGCATCCTACTTGCTCTTGTTGAGTCTGTACATGATGGGATGATACTGTTGTAGAAGTATGGCTTAAAATTCTGTACTATAAATAAATACTTCAAAATTCTTTTTATTTGATTTTCTATTTTGTCGACTGATTTATGTTTTCTATTTTGGTGTTCTTCATATAATCTTTTTACTTGAATCGCACGAGTCATTATTCATGTATTTTACCTTAACTAGTGTTAAGTCCGTGATTTATAACTGGAAATTGTTTGATCGATTTGAAATGTAGTTGCAACTGTAAATACAAATACTGGAGTATCATAAATTATTCAGCCCATATTTGCTGTAACTCTAGCAATTTTTTTGGTTTTCTTAGCTTATATGGTGCAAAATTGCTAGTCTTGCATGCAAATTACGAAACACATTGTGATTTATGGATATATTTTAACTAGCAGGCTTAAAAGTGGCTACTAGTGTACTTCGCTCTTGAATTAATGAGTCAGTCGTGACGATTCAAGGATAAATTTACATACACAGTATTAAATTCACAGCGGTTTTATATCATGCAGAAAACATAGCACACACCATTAAGACCTTTTTTTGGGTTATTTTCTCATAGATTTATTTCCAAAGGGAATAAGCAGTTACATTATTAGTACATAATACACCAACACACAAATTCTCAAGTTTCATATATAGTAGTTCCATAACTTTAGTAGTCAATAGCTAGCCATGGCTGAAATTTGCTTTTTATTTATTGTTATATAATTCCTAGCTAGTACTAGGAATTTCACTCTCTTCCTTCTCATAAGCCAGGCTGCTACTTACCAAACCTGCGTAAAAGAATTTTTACACTATCAGTTCAGTTTAGCTTGTAATAACATATTGTATATTTAAATTTTCAGTAACTAGTTTCACTTACTATGAACAGTTACCTGTAGTTATTTAGCAGCGACGTTCATCATCACTGCTGTCGCTACAGTCGCTGCCACTGCCGCTGCCGTAACCACTCTTGCCCTTTCTCCTACGGTGTTGCTTCTTGTAAGTGGTGGTGCAACCAGAAGCTGCACCCATTCCATAGCCACCATGTCCATGATGTCCCTCATGTTTCTTTCCAAAGCCCATAACATGACCCAAAGCGCCCGAGCCCATTCCACTGAACCCGGGTTTCTGCATGTGAGTGTTGTGGCCCGACCCGTAGCCCGTGCCATGGCCCATCATTGGCCCACATGGGTTAGTGCTGCCGTATAAGTTACCTAGTCCATGTTGATGGCCGTGGCTAGTGCCATAACCCGTCATTCCAGGGTTGGTTTCGTAACACCTTTCTTTCTCATAGTAAGATTGTTGGTAACCCGAGTTCGAGTAGTTAGTTGGTTTTTGGTAAGTGCCTGAGGATTTCTCATAGTAATCAAACTCCTTACCTTCTTCTTTGTAGCATTGGATTGAAGCCATTGTTAATGTTTAAATGGATGTTTGAGATGAGTGTTTTGATTGTTTTTTTGGCTGGCTTGAGGAAAATGAAGAGGGGATGATAGGTATTTATACAAGTTATACTTTAGTGGGATTCTCTCATTTCCTCTATTATTATTTGATGATTTTTGGATCTTTTCCTTTTTCTTTTGTAAATTGCCAAGGGCCAAAAAGAACTTATTCTTGTGGGATAATATGAATAATATGATAGGGATATATTCCTATCCTTGTTCAATTATTTTTATTTTGAACGGTAGGAAATCAGTGTTGTACAATATAGGCTCAAACCTGATCAGATGAACACTTTTTACCGAAAAATTATATTATTTACAAAAAAGTATAATGTATATATAAAAAATTATGCAATATTTATATGTGAAAGATTACTTTTCATGCATATATATGTATATATCCTTTCATCTAAATTATATAAGTAGTACTTATTTTGGAGAAAAAAAAAATCAGCTAACTTACATGTAAGTCAAGTATAGTATAGTACTACATTTGCCACTTCTGGTCGAATATTTTGTACCACAAATATAGCAAATATTTTTCAAGATACGATACGTTTTTGTAATATTAAGTGATATAAAGTTATTCAATTTTTTGTTGAGCAAGACCACTTTGATCAATATCTGTAATTTTCTAGAACGGAATATAAATACACTTTTTAGATTTTTTGTATTCGAATCATCAGGGAATGGATACATACCTTGTTCTATGCAGTGTTGTGAAATCCCACTTTATCGATTTTTTACTAGATATGTATAAGAAAAAAATTAAAAATAAATATAAAAATAATATTATTTGTTATTATAGTTATTTATTCATTTGTTTACTTCTTTAAATATGTTAATATCGTTTACAAAAAATTGTGTATGCTACTTAGATATGTTCATGAGCAGTATAAAAAAAAATTAAAAATTATTTTTGTCATCAAATACTGTTTTATCATCTGCAACCTTCTTTCTTTTTTCCCACTTACCTGTACCTGAAATTTGAAATTCATAAAAGAAAAAGAGAGAAAAAAGAAAAAGAAATTAAGGTACCTCGTATAAAAAATATGAGAGGTACTGTTAAGTAAACCAAGGCTAATTTCGTCATTACAACAAACACATGCTTTCAACAATTTGATCAAAAGCCCACGTGGCCATACTTTAACAGATGTGCTGGTGAAGTTACTCATTTGTCCTTGATGTTGTGACCTTTTCTTTTTGTGAAAGGTCTTATGTGTGATTTCAGCGGTTTGATTTATTCTTCTATTCCGGATTATGAGGGTATTTGGATTAGCTTATAAAAAGTTGCTTTTAAATTAAATTCGTTTTTGGCTTATTTTTATACTTTTTATGCCTAAAAGTAAGTGCTTTTAAACACTTTTTATCATTATCAAACACCACACAAACTAAAAAAATGTTTAAAAGCCAATAAACACTTAAAATAAGCCAATTCAAACACCCTCAATATTTATCTATTGCTGGCAAGGTTTTGCCATATTATTCTTATTTATTTTTTACGTTTGCGATCTTTTCTCTGCTTTTGCTTTTGAGTGATTAGCTGATTAGCATATGTATTTATTTTTCGAGTGTAGCGATTCCCAAACAGAAAAAGCCATGAAAATGAATTAAGAAAGCAAGGAAAAGAAAACAGAGAAAACAAGAAGATAAAATTTGATTTTTCATTCAACATAGCTATGGAAAAAAAAATATACGGAAATAAATAAGACAAGTTCCTCACAGATGGGACATGTGGCAATTAATTATATGGCCACTTGTAGGGACTGAAGGTGAAATAAGTACTTGACTCAATTAAAAATACAAAAGGTGGACTAAACTATAATAACAAAAGCTTTACTTATTTTCTACCATTCGTTACAATCCATCCCCCTTAAAACAACCTTGTCCTCAAGGTTGAGAATGTTGACAAAGAACACTCCAGGAGAAACAACTTCTTGGCTATTGTGCTGCTTAACCAAACCTACTTTCAGCATGCTGTTCATTATAGACTCCAAGAACCTCTTCCCTTGTTGAACCAATCCAAAATGTCAGAGAGTAGGAATATTAACAAAGCCCTTTGGTGACTGTCCCTCGACTATCAACTTTTCAAATACAAATATAACCTTTATAAGGTAACCACTATGTGGATATTGTCCTTTTAACAAACTTCCTATTTGCAGCTGCATATTTGATCCATAGATCCAAAACATTACAAATGAAGCAAGTAATAGTTTTCTGCTCAAAGCTACTGATCCTTGCTTCTGAAGTTTCGAAATGCTCCATAGCTCTGGATGTATAATAGTGACCGGATCCAATTTTGCATAACTTAGAACCAGCAGTTTCATCTCCCAACAAGTATACTTGGGTTGCACTTCCAGATTTCCACTTTAACAAGGGCATAATGAAAGAAAAATTTAACAAGGGCAAAAGCAACATGATTTTCCTCCAAGTATCCATAGGCTTTACTATTATTTGGACAACCTGAGAGGAACAATATTTTAACAGCTTGATCAATTGGTTAGCTCCTTTTGACTTCAACCTTGCACTAGAGCAATCAGGATTGACATTCTTGATCACAATATCAGTTCTCATTTCAACAATATTGACATATGTGTTGGATGTTTTGACAACTTCAGTTTTATCCTTTACTGTAACTACCCTACCACCATTTTGATAGATAACTCTTGTTGTTAATGATCTCAAATTCCCATTTTTATGTGCCGCACCATAAAGAGAAACCTCGAGGATAACATCATTGTTGTCATGGATTGATCCAGTAAAAGTGCTTCCTCCATGTTCAAGGACGAGGATTGGTTTACTTAGTTTTAAGCTATGAACATAAAGATGGTCAAACTTTATGTATGTTGGCCCATACGAATTGCACCTTGACATTTCAAACTCTATCCAAGGGTTCATGTACCTACTGTAGTGCATCATGTAAAAGATCTCTGCCATATCCATATTTTCAAACTCATGCATTTCAAATTTTCTATCAACAATCTCAAATGAGATACCAATTATTAACTCCATATTTTCAAATGCATTCAACCTTTTGACTGATGCTAACACCCCCTCCTCATTGCAAGGTGTAGTCACTGAAACATGAAGGTCTTTTTCATCAATAAAAGCCATAAAAGTAAAGCTATGATAATTCTCTACAATTCCAGTACTACTATTGGTAGCATGGGCATTACACCCATTGAGAGGACCAACCATATTGGATCCAGCAAGGTTCTTGATCATGTTAAACTCTATAAGAGCAGATACATAAGTTTTTAGAACTTTTTCCACTACTTCCAAAGAAATGATTACTTCACAGACAATTGATTTTCCACTCCCCTGAATCCAGTTTACAGCAGCAGCCTTTTAGCAAGATAGAAAATACTGGATATCACACCAACCTCCATTTGAAGAAACTTGGAACTATTTGGGGCTCCTTTGGATACCAAGTTCATTCCCACAACATTCCCCGTACCACCACTAAATCTGATATAAAAATTTTTTCTGGCAAGTGAGCATTGTATCCTTTGAAGCCTTATGGATCTACTTAACTGATCGAACACCATGATAAAGGTATCAAAAGTAGCAGGGTATTCTAAGGAGAACGTGTAATAACTAAGTTGCTCAGTGTTGAACCAAAGGCCAAAGTAACTTTCAAGCTGCTTGACTCCACTAACTTCATTCTTTCTACCTTGGATCCTTGGTTGTTCATAGAGCTCTCTCAGATTTGGATTGCGAAACTTAACAACATCTTCAAACATACCCGACTTGAAATACCAATACATCAAGGAACTTCTACAAATCTTGATGAATCGGGGCTGATATTCACATTCAAATAATCCGACAATTTGAAGTTACTGCCATACAACCCTTCAACCAAGAAAAACATTAGAAGTTGCAATCCCTTCTGAATTTCAACCTTCCAAGTAGAATTGCATATCATTACTATTTCAGGTACCATATTTCTAATTGACATTTCCTCAAATAGTCTGTTAGCAAACCAACCCTCTCCATATTTAGGGCATCTACTTGACAGAGAATCCTCCACGAACTACCCACATCCAAATCCCAATTTCCAAGCATGTAAAGGAACAACATTCTTAACTTCAATCTCTACCTGTGTGAAAAACAAAGTAATTTCCTCCTTCCTTGATGGTTCATCGTAAATCTCTTTGGAAACAGATTTCTCAATCTCACTCGGCAATAGATAACCCTGGTCACCTAAAGAAAGTTGACTCAGAATCTTAGTTCCTTCTCTATGGAGACTTTCATCAAACACCTGATGTTCATTTGATTATTCCTCCTCCTCATCTTCATCCTTAATCTCCTTTCGTTCATCCTCAATGACATCATTTTCGGATTCCAATTGTTCTCGTGTTTCTTCTTCGCCCTCCTGTAATGCATTGTCTACGATGTCTTTCTGGAATGATGATGTTCCACACAAATTGTTGCGTTTGTAAGAACATCTCATACCCACTGTCACACCTCCTTTTTCCGCACCCGAGAGGGTACAATGGAGTTTTTCCAATTAAAGGACAATCAAAATGGGATTGGTTTATTTATTTCAGAGTCGCCACTTGGGAGATTTAGGGTGTCCCAAGTCACCAATTTTAATCCCGAATCGAGGAAAAGAATGACTCCATATTACAGTCTGCGTACCAGAAATCCGGATAAGGAATTCTGTTAACCCGGGAGAAGGTGTTAGGCATTCCCGAGTTCCGTGGTTCTAGCACGGTCGCTCAACTGTTATATTCGGCTTGATTGTCTGATTTTATACAAATATGAACTTATGTGCAAATTTTATCTTTTAACCGCTTTATTATTATTGTTTTTAAAAGAAATATGAACATCGCTTAAAACACGTCTTTGGACTGCGTTACATGAAATGCACCCACAATCCGGAACACGTTTTATTTGATGTTTTGGGATTTGGATTCGGGTCGCATGAAATGCATACCTAGGCTTAAGAAAGTAAAATATTAAACACGCGCCTAAAGAGACTATCGCGTTATTATTTTGGGAAAGCCCCGAAATTCACTAAGCGGCCCTCCTGAATTCTAA